TAACAATTGTTGAAATATCAACATCACCACTACCGGTACTATCACGTAAATCAATTAATTTTTCTTTTCCTGTACTAGTTTTCTAAAGACAAAAAGGAACGAAAACATATTTAAACAAAATAATAATTTTTTTTTGTTAAGTTGAGAAAAAAAAATGTGAAATAAATACTTGAAGACCATTTGCTAATGGATCAATTCCTGTATCAATAACAGCAATGGTTATTTGACGTCCATCATATTGAGGATGTTTTGTTAATAATTGTAATGCACCAGTTGGTTGCTTAGGTAAACAACCAGCAACTGGAAAATGCGTATCAATATCCACAGATAAACAATTCATATCTAAAATAAAGTTTGATATTGATTTAATCTATTAAAGTCGAAAGATAGTCAACATAACTCATCTAATGATAACGTACACTAAATCATATTCAATTATGTAATAAAAAAAATATTGATCAATAACATTCAAAAGACTTTTCCAGATTAGTTTACATATTTATCTACATTTATAACAATAAATTATTTCACTATAATAGAATATTTAATCGAGATAATAGAGGAACTATATTCAACAATGAAGTTACTACGAAAAATTTTATCAACACTTCATTGAAATGGGATTTAATAAATTATTCAGTATGAAATAATATCAATAGAAGCAAAAAAATTGATTGATCAAGATTTACTATAGCATAAACTTTTTAGTTTTAACATTGACAAATCTTGATAGTAATCAAACTTAAAATAAAATCCGATTATTAATTATCTAAAATAGATAAAAATTCAAACATTAAAGAATTGTAAGAAAACTCAATAGAAACGAAACCAAAGAATAGACTATGATCTTTTCCGTGTTATCTTACTAATCGATATGAGTTAGATATTGATCAGTTAAATGAGATTTGATGTATTTTAATGAATTTTATCTATTTTTTTCATTGATTTTTGATAAACTTTGAAAAATGATAGTCTTGTACGTGTGACTAAAAATAAATTTTATATTGATAATTAGTGTACTACTATCTAGAATACTGAGAGAAAACTTATATTTCAAGTGAAAATTGATCATATATTGGACTAAATTAAAAAACAAAATAATCTAAAAATTTACTAAATATTATTTATCATAATTCGCTTTGTATGTAAAAAAAAATTGCACCGAGGAACAATCCTATTAAATTTTACAAAACTTATCAGAGTCCAAAAAATCAGTAGGATAGCTATGAATCGAACAGGCAAAAGTTTTTGTTTACTACAGTATTTCAAACAGTATACATATAATAATCGATTAGATTCCATAATGAGACAACATAAAATTACTTGTTAGAAGTTCTTGTATGAACTGAAATCAAAATTTTGTGATGTAAGTTAAATAATACAATAAATTTGATTAATTAAATCCATCAACGATATCATCAAATAAATTTTGAATTAGAAAAATAAATGAAATATTAAAAATAGCAATGAATATATATTAAAATAAAAACAGAAAACGGGAAATATGTATTTTATTATTTTTTTTCAAGCATTAATCTTGCTGATGTTATATAAATTATAGAATAAGTATAAAAAGAACAGCACGTATGTATACAAAGCAGGAGAAAAACAAATCGAGGCAAAAAAAGAGTATCTAGAGAGATGATCAGTAGAGAAAGTTTTCATATTTTAAACTTAAAGCAGAAGACTTTTCTGTGTAATAACTAATAGAACCTATTTTGTTTTTTATAAATCATATTGATTGACGAAACACAGATTTATATGAATGAAAATCAATGAAACAAGACAAAAAAAAGAGGGGGAATGCACTGGTAGCAACCGGTCTGTTTTTTTTTTGTTTAAAAATCAAACGAAAAAAAAAAAAAAAAGTTTTTTTCTTTTTATGATGCCCATCTTTCTAATTCAGCCAATTGATCATTTTTTACTTTGCTTGATTGTGCAGTTGCTGGTTGAGTATATATTGGAACGGGATGAGCAGGAACTGTTGGTAAATTAACTTGAGACATTTCTGTTGCTATTGCTTCTTGTTCTAATTGTGCCAATTCATTTTCCAATTCAAATTCATCAATTTCAGCACCAAAACCTACAAATATTTGAAAATTTTATTTTCAATTTAATAAATAAACAAAACTAAAAACATACCAACAGGACTTGAAATAGCATTAGCTATTTCATTTGATAATTCATGTTGTTCAGCTAATTCATCCATTATATCTTGAACACTATCAACATCAAGTTCTTTATGAACATTTTTTAAAGCACTTGTTGCACCTTTAAGTGCATTGAATGCTTGACCATTCATTGAAGCATTCTATATATATATCGAAATTTCATTAAAAAAAATTAAATAATTTTTTATTTACTTGTAAAGATTCACGTTGATATTCAAGAGTTGTTAAAGTTCCATCGATTTGTTGTAAAGTTTTTTCTAAACGTTTTTTTCTTTTCAATGCATTCAAAGCATTACGTTTATTTGTTCGAGCATCACGACGAGCAATTGCTGTTTCTTCATTTATTTTTGCTTCTAAATGTTCAACTTTTTTATTCAAAACATCTTCAACATCACGTAACTGTTGTATAGCTTCTTGTGGTGTTTGAGCTATTTTCGTTTTAGCACCACCTTTTGATGATCCGCCAAACATTCGAGATAATACACCACCTTTATTATTACTCATTATCAATTATTTTAGAAGAAATACGTAAATACCTATTATGAAAACAACAGAAAATATAATAATACATATATATATATATTTAAAACTATTCAATGCTGATAACAATATTTGCATAGGAAAAAAATGCAAGTAAAACAATAATCTATGTGACGTTTTCATACTCTTCCTTTTTTATTTTTTTGCTTCAAGTAACTCAGACTCATGAATCAATGAATTGTTCGACAAATAAAAACAAACAACCAGTCAACAACCAAGTTCGAATTGAGAAACATCGTCATCATCAGGCGGATTTCTATGATTAACTATTAATTTTTTTCATTGGTAGACTTTTTTTCAAAAAGATGTCACTGTAATACGATCATTGAATACTTTTTTTTTTCGACATCGTCTAATGAAGAAGAACAACATGAAGCCACACAATATATATTATAGAAAACTGTACAATGATCAATGAACAATAGTTATTTGTCATTAATAAAAATTATAAAATTCATTATGGAAATGTTAGATTTAAGAATGGATCAATTTTGTAAAAAAGAAAGTAAAAGAAATGAATGAACGAACACAACGATCATTTATATATAATTAAAAGATCAGAAGAATATTTTCAATGTGATGACAGCCATAACATTTAGTATATCATTTATAAAACAACTGCTACACCTCTAATATAGTTTACTACCGTTGACAGATGAAGGGTGTGTGTGAGAATATGTGGGTGTGGATTCTTTTGTTATATACATTCATATCAAGACCCACTTCAGGAACAATCTATATCTTACAAACTTGCAGACGTATCTGCGTAAGATATCAAGAGAACAAAACGAAGAAAGAAAGCAATGGATAATAATAAATAGAGAAAGAGAGAAAGAGAAGGAGAATTAATCGAAAATCAGGATGATGATTTTGCATTATCACCGTTAACATTCATTCTCACGTTCACATCTTCATTCAAGAATTCATACTTGTTTATTTCAAGAAAAAAACCATCATCGACTGTTTTCGCAAGAACGAATATATGCATTGAATGAAGCATGTCTATTAAATTATTGATATAAAATAATAAAATCGATCGTTTGAAATGATGGAATTAAGTTAAACTCTTTTCCTTTCCCTGTAGATCTAGAGAGTCCGCTTAATGTATGTGAATGCCTTCCACTAGAATTAATAGTAATATTCGTTTTCCCAAGTGGAATAGTATGAGTATGTCGTGCATTGGCTTCAGCGCCGCCCGCCGTGATCACTTCCCCAATATTGACCGAACCCAAAAGGTGCCTCGCTAGTGGAACCACCATGATTATGTTCTGGATCATCATACGTATGTGTATGATCACCACCGCTTGATAAGTGCAATGTTCCTGTATCATATTGATGTTCAGGAAGCTCATCTTCTGTCAATACATGCTTAGAGTCTCCACCAGTTTTGAAGCTGGGCCTTTGCCTTGTCTCAATACCAAATGGAAAGCGGCCACGAAAATCAGGTAAACTAAATGTCTTAACGTGATCTCCCCAGTAGCGTAGCCAGGAATTTTCCAAGGAGGATGCCTGACACATTATGGGGAGTGCACACCAGCAGAAAATAAAGTTTTATTTCTCAAAACGATTTTTAGCTCGTATCCCGCTCCAGATATTTTTTGGTCAAGGAGGAAGGGGGTGCCAGGGCATCCTGCGCACCCCCGTTGGCTACGCTCCTGGATCTCCCACACCATATAATGTACCGATAATGGAAAATAACTGGGAATATGTTGTTCGAGATATGCTCGAAGCATCACATCGCAGTTAATTCGCTGGTATATCTATTCCAGCGAAAAGACTAACTGTTCCGATAAGTAAACCACATTAAGAAACACTTGAATCTACATACAATTCGTCACTTAAAAAAGGGTGTGCGTGGGTGTTGGTATGAGTATTGCCTTCGGTCACACCAACATCCACCCACATCCTCACCATGTCCTAGTTAATTTAGTTTATTTTCTCTGATTGATATTCATTAGAATGTAGATTAAAAAAAATAAGAAGACTTTTCATATTCTATTTCAAAAATGCAATAAGCCGATAGACTGATAAGTATGGACTTTGTAAGAATACTGAGACTTCAACAAAGTTATTATTACTTGTTCTTTGTTTAATTGATACGTTAGATATGAAATAATAAGATAGACATACATTTAATCAATATTAATCTCGAGTTAAATTTAATAATTCAAAATAAAATATTTATTTATTTTAGTTATGTGAAATGAATCCAAATGTTGCATTAATTTTACTACCATGTCCAATAAGTCAACAAGAATCGAATTGGTTATTATTAGCTGTATCAAAAGGATGTTTGGAGGCACAATGATCAAAGGAAATCAACCAACAACAACAGTAGGTTTAACATCACATATAACAACAAAACTTGCTGAAAATCTTCACATTGATGAAACAGCAACAGGTGATGGAGATTGGGCTGATGATAAAGTATAAATTGAAGGTGTTGAAGATGATTTTAATAGAGAAAATCTTAATAATAATCAAGATGAACAAGATGAAGGTTGAGGTGATACTGAAATTGAATTACCACCTCATCTTGTATGTTATTGATTTTTTCTTCAATATGAAATGAAAGAATAACATATTTCTTTATTTTAGGAAACAACTGGTGGAAGTAGTGGAGCTGGTGATGGGGTGTGGGTGGGTGTGGTGTGGGTGTGGGTGTGTGGGTGTGGGTGGGTGTGGGTGTGGGGTGTGGGTGTGGGGTGTAGATGTTAATCTTCTCTTCATTCATATCCACACCCACACCCAGACCCACACCCACCCACACCCACACCCACCCACACCCACCCACACTCACCCACACCCACACCCTCACACCCACACCCACACCAACATCCCACACCCACACTCTCAGTGAATCGTTTTGTAGGTAGCTGTCGAAAAGCAATAGAAGATTTTCGAAGTCTCGGAAACCCGAACTGGGTTTCCGGGACTCTAAGGTTTTTGATTGCTTGGGAACGTTTTTGAGAGCTCGGAAACCCTTTTCCGAAAACCTATAAAGGGTTTCATATATGAACAAACCCGGAAACCCTCTATAGGTTTCCGAGAGTACTTCTTTTTTTAGAGTGTAGTAGCAAGTAAATCTTATGGATGGAAAATCATCGTATGATAAAGGATTTCAAGATAAGAGAAATGAAAGCCGATCTATTTGAGAGACGCTGTCTTTTCTGTCATTCTAAATCAACAGAATGAAAAGAAATACAAAAAATGTTGAATCAGGTTTTCCTCTTGAAAGAATCATCAAAGATACACTTGAAGTTTATGAAAAAATGTTAAAGTAATATAATGCATTAAAAGAATCAGAAAATGATTGTGGTGTATGACATAATTTAGCGTCAAAGCTCTGGAGCCAAGATAATTAACTCTGCATCACTATAACGCATCAATTTTTCGATTTAATCAATTCAGTCTTAAAAGTCATGCATCATTTGAGAGCCAATGAGACCTTCAATGCTCATGAGCTAAAACTAGCCTTTGATTAGATCGTGAGATATGTAGTTGTAAGTGTCATTTTTTAGTGTACTCAAAAAGTGAGTACACTACTAAAATCGGTCTGTGTGTCCGTCCGGCCGTCCGGCCGTTAACACGATAACTTTCGAAAGGAGAGTCAGATTGGGATGAAATTTTGTACACAGCTTAGTCTTGACAATATCTCGGTCGAGTTCGAAGATGAGA